AAATCTGATTAGATCTAGAGTTCCAGGTTGGGGATATGGTTCTCCTGAAGGTGTCACCTTGGAAAGGTGTCATCCAATTCAGGAAGAGGGGAAAATTAGGCCCCAGGTACATCGGTCCTTTCAGGGTTTTGGCCCGGGTGGGCCGGGTTGCTTATCGCTTGGATCTTCCCGAGGAGCTTAGTTAGATCCATAACACATTTCATGTCTCTCAGCTATGGAAATGTTTAGTGGATGATTATGTGGTGGTTCCATTGGAGGATAATCAGGTGGATGATCATCTAAATTATATCAAGAGACCGGTGGCGATTCTTGACGGAAGAAGAAAACCTTGAGGAACAAGGTTGTTGAGTTAGTGAAAGTCCAGTGGCAACATCGCAAGGTTTCAAAATGGACATGGTAGCCGGGGGACGATATGAGGGAGCATTACCCAGAGTTGTTTGGGGCAGCAGACTTCAAGGGCGAAGTCTGATTCAAGTGGGGGGGGGGGGGGGGAATTGTAACGTTCATAATTTGGTAAGTTTCCTTTTAGCCCCTTAATGAAAAATCCTTTTCATTTTGGTCCCTAGCTAATACGCGGTGCGTACTCTATGAGAACGCTTAGCGTACTATCTCTTTTATGGTCGCGGGCTTCACCCACGTACGTGGGAGTATGTTGGGCGTACGCAAGGTTTGGGCAAACCTTAATGTTTAGGGTTTTCACCCTATTTAAACAACTTAAACCACCTTTGGACATTTTATTGATCAACCTCCATCACCCTATACCCTAAAAACAAAATCCTAAGTGCCTCTTATGAGTTTTGAGCTTGAAAGTGAGATTTTTGTGGTGTTTTAGTGAAAGAAGAAGTAGAAGAACTCTTGGTGGTTGCTTTGGAGTAGCTTAGGCTTGTAGATCCAGATTCATCGTCTTCATTGCAAGCCATTTGAGGTATAAAGTTCTCTACTTTATGGTTCATTATGCTAGATCTAGTTTTGGGACTTTGTTTATGCATTTTTGGGTCTTTTGAGCTAAAGTTGAGCTTTTGATCTACTCCAGAAGCCATGGATGTTAGATCTTAGCTCCATGGAGGTCCCTTGTTCATAAAAATGCAAACTTTATGAAAGATATGATGGGTTTTTAGCTTAACAAACAAAAATCTTATGTGTGCATGCAACCCTAATTGAAGATCTATGTTTTCTCTAAGTAAACATACAACATTTGAACACCAATTGGAAAAAACCCTAATACTACTAGTATAATTTCGAAATCACTAATATATTTAGGAAAACATACCTTTATTGTTATATAGTAATAACAATGAAATCCTAGTCTTCTTGAACTTTGAGAGAAAGTGTCACAAGTGTCACGCCTCTAGTGGTTCACATCCAATACAAGCAAGAGGATAAGAGATGAGAGAGGAGAGGAGAGCTAGGAATTTCGGCTATTCCTTTAGGGTTTCAGGTGGTCAAAATTCATAGGGTGTAGAGGTCTATTTATAATGCAGATAGGATGCCCTGGATAATCCTAATTTAAATATAATATTATTAATTCAAAGTGGTAATTATCCACCTCCTTAATTATCCACATGGGATAATCTAGAAAGCCTAGATTATCCATATAGATTTCATCTAGAACCTTCCCTAGGAAGGTTCTGGAACCTCTTGCTCAACTATTGAATTATTACACTTTAGCCCTACACTTTCAATTAATTCTTTTAATCCCAAAATTAATTTCAATTAATTTCTGATTAAATATTACTATTTCAAATTAATATATTATTCTCATAATATATTAACAAATCATTCATTTCAATTTATTAATCAAATAATACATTCAACCTCTCTCTCCAAAAGTCATCCTGTCCAGTTGCTAGATTTGAGGGCAACCCAAAAGGACTGTGCTACTATCAAAATTCAAGTACATACCAATTATAGTTATGGGCTTAGACACCTAATCCAACAGTCTTCCACTTGGATAACTCTAATAACTATAGTTGTCAGTATAACTTCTAGAAGTAATTAGCAAATTGTAGCTCTCAAAGTCGCAGTCGAAATCTGACCCAGTCAGTTATATGTCTTAAGATAAGTGATCAAATGTTCCTCCGTTCTACAAGATATTGTACGAACATGAGACATGGATTTTAATCAATCTCATTGTCCAAGTTTTGTTTCCCGATTTCTAATTTATGACGACTGATTCAGACTACCAACTGAACACATCAACTCAGTCCAGACTCGGCCAAGCGCTTTATATGTCAACATCAAATCATCGAGGGGCCCACAGATATCGCTTTTCCCGTTAGGGTAAAAGGAACGGATAAACTTCGACTTATATGCTTACACTATTCACTCATCAAATCTCGCACAACAATACGTTTTATAACATCAAGTTATTGATGTGTTAACGTATTATCAATGCACAACTGATTTTTAAACAACAAATCATATATCTCCGTTTCAAGAATATAAGATATTATCGTCTCAAAATTACTCGTGATAAAATCCATGAAGTAGTTCTCTGAGTGTGGGTTTATCCAATACTCAAAATCCCCATTTTCCAAGTACTCATGAACATTGTAGCAAAAAATTGCTATGTCTAATCTCCATAGACAATCAATAATTCAATTCATGACAGTCTTAATTCGCTACTTACTTCCAAAAGTACGAGCGACAGTGGAGTTTTTTTTAATAATCCAATTATCCGGGAAGTAAAACATGCAAAGTGAAATACAATAATAACCGAACTAACTATGGTCTCAAACTAATGAAGATAAATAAAACTCTTATTATTTAATCACCATATTAATTAGACTTTATTCATTATATAATGTTTCGAGTAATCAACTAAACACTTGAATTTAAACATTAGTCATTTCATGTTATAAACATGCATACTATGTTTCTCTATGGTCCTTCCTATGCAAACAGATCAATTGGACATTATTCTAATGATACTCATTTCATAATTTCAAATTCTTGTTACTACTAAATGTGTTAGAGTTCATCCTTACATTTAATATCCTTTTGTGATGTCGAGGCTTCAAATTCATAGAGACTTTGCCAATGATATCACAAAATGTTCCATTGGAACTTTGTTACTAAAAACAATTCCAAAATAATGAAGTTTCAAATTCAAGGCATATTCCTTGAACATCTTCCCTGCATTAAGGTTTCTAGCTCACATGTAGATTTTAATATCAACTCCCACTATGGAAACATTTCCATATTCCAATATGACTGTCAATTCTGATCAAGAATTATCTCAATCTAAAATATGTCACTATGGTCCGTCCAAATTAATATTATACTTCCAACTGTCCACAAGCAACCAATCTTTAGTAAACCACAGAGTGGTATTGACAGTTGTTTAACAACTTTAGTCACACCAAGTTCTAGTCCTTTTTCCCTCTCAATACGCAATGCATTTGGAAAAATTAGAACAAGTGGATATTATAGCATATGTAAACGATCCTATATCCGAAGCATATGAGACTCGATACATAATGTTTTACATGAAGGCCTGATATATGATCAGTCTCTTGCTATAATATTTTCATATATCGAATTTCCTATGTTGAACCATTTCAACACGATATTCATATATGTCCAAGACTAAGTTTTTATTAAAACTTTCAATCTAAACTTTTATATTTGAAATGAAGTATGAATGAACTCTCCCTTAAATCCTTTTATAGCGAAACAATTCCCAAACTTTGCAATTTGCAAATTTAAAATCTTTGTTTCCTACAATTAGTATTGCCAACTTGCAACACTTAGCATAACAACTATGCTCCCAATAGCACAACAATTATACTAGCTTTGACATGTATCTAGAAGGATCAACTGAACTTCTAGAAATCAATACTTTTTGACCTTTTTACTAAAGTGCAGATTTCTGATATGTGATGCTTCGATAAGTCTTCATCTAGATTTCTCAAGCTTATACACCTTCATTAGATAACATATGTGTGTGTTTAAACCTTTCAAACTTATAGCTACAAGTCCTGAACGTTCAAACAGTTCCTTGCCATTTCTCAAGCTTTATACATCCTTGCCATTTTTATATCACACCACAACCAATTTCATCATAATCATATGGTAGTAGGAGTGGGAGTTGTGTCACCTTTGACATACTAATTTTCTGTCAGATAGGCGTTATATTATTGTCACACCTCTTCAATATCTTGCGATTTGGAGAGTTGGTTTGCCATGCAACAAGATTTTGTTTTCTTTTATTTAAACAAACTAATTTATGTGAAAACTAAAATATTCATTAACTTGAAATGAAAATTAGAATAAAACTTAAATACTAGAAAACAAAACACAAGGATTAATAATCCAAAACATGAAACATAGATATTGTATTTTTTTTTTTTTGCAATGTGCTCTTTGATTTTAACACTGATTTCCATGCCGCTTCAGGATAATGACTCATATCTTTCATTAAGAAGAATGTTCGAATGAAAGAATATTGAAGGTTGTGGTGTGATATAAAAATAGATAGGCGTTGATATTTATATCGGTTGAAAGATGATTCAAAAATTGAATTTTGGTTGAAGAAAACGGATAGATTTTTTAAAGTTGGTAAAAAAATTAATTGTTTGTTTAATTTAAATTTTATCTCTCTTATGTTAACCATTACCGAGTTACTCCGCCGAGCTTGGCATGCCGAGGTCAAAACGCGATGTGCGTTGAGGCCACCTTGGCTCCTGCCAAGGTGTTGTTGAGCCACTTGGTGCAGCCTTACCCTTTCCCTATTCATGTTTCCTCTATTTTTGTTACTTCTAGTTCTTGACCCATGGCAATCTTGATTCCTTCACAATTCTAACAAATGAGTACACAAATAAACTTTTAAACTATTAACCAGCAATAAATCACCAACTTATCACTTAATTATTGAGATTGTTCTGATTCAGTCCAGTATCCAAATGATCTGAACAAATTGAGCACTATGTTAGAGTTTGAGGACAAGAAGTTATCCGGTAATAATTTGTCACAAGAACCAAAAGTCTGAAATTTTAAAAATGGCAAAGGAGCCCACCCCATACCCAGTCCCCACCCTACCAGAAAAGGTCATGGAAGTCCACAAAGGTTGATGGGGAAGCCCTGTTCTGAAAAACTGGCTGCCACCACCACAAATCTCCGTTCTTTTTTCTGTCTACAATGTCCAGATTTCTTCCATAGCCAATAGCACCCTTTACTTTTTCGTTTCACTCCGTGTTGGTTATCCCCTGTAAAGCTTCTTTTAATGGAGTATAAAGCTTCTTTTACATACTGAACCCCTTCAAAGGACCCAGAGCTTTGTTACTTCTTCTGGAATGGTCGTAAAGGTCTTCTCGTTTTTTCGATGAAACTCTTACGGATTTGATTGAATTTTCGTAATCTGTGTCTTATAAACTGGAGTTGAATTAGGGAGTACACTTTTGTAGATTGTCCGCTTATGGATTTTCCCTCGAGGTTTTGTTGCCTAAGGGTCTTCGATCGGTATGTTTTACTCAAATCACTGTTTAATTGATTGTATAAATTCAAAGTCTAAACTTGGAGTTTTCGAAGCGATTTTGTCTCGATGCCATTGACTTTTTCTGAATTAAAGTTTATTTGAGCTGATTACACTCAAAAACTGCTTGAATTCTGCTTCTCGCTCAAAAACTGCTTGAATTCTGCTTCTCGCTTATTCCTTTGATGTTTGGAAACATCGCTTATGGATTTTGGCTTTTACAAATCTGGATTTGGAAGTTGAGTATAGCAAACCAAGGAAGTGCTTAGCGATATGATTGTTATACATGTTCTAGAATTGCTGCTCATTGATTCTGACCTTTGCACTGAAATTAGGGTTCTTCGACTGATTGTATAGAATTTGTATTCCTATATCTTACAGGAAACAGAACAGGAAGAAACAGTCAACGTGGAGAATATTCTCATTGAAGGAACTGCATTCTGCTACAAATAATTTTAATTATGATAACAAGCTCGGGGAAGGTGGATTTGGCAGCGTTTATTGGGGCCAACTTTGGGATGGATCTCAGGTAATTAATTACATAATCTCCACCATCAATTCTTTCGTTTTCACTTAATTGAATCACACAATCGATTAAGGTTAATCAGAAGCATATGTGATCTAGATTGTCCATTAATGTCACAAACCCTAACATCAGTTGGGTGAATGTGCAGATTGCAGTGAAGAGATTGAAGGTTTATAGCAACAAAGCAGAGATGGAATTCGCTGTTGAGGTGGAAATTCTTGCACGCGTTAGACATAAGAATCTTCTAAGTTTACGTGGTTATTGTGCAGAAGGTCAAGAACGTTTGATTGTGTATGATTACATGCCTAATCTCAGTTTGCTCTCACATCTTCATGGACAACACTCTGCTGAATGCCTTCTTGATTGGAATCGACGAATGAATATTGCTCTTGGGTCCGCAGAAGGAATCCTGTAAGCCTTTCCAACCCACTTTCTTTAACTTCTCAACAACACACTACCCCATATAGGCCCCATTTTGGCAAACTAGCTTATAAGCTAGTTTACAATAAACTAGCTTATTTTTGCCAAACAGGGCAATAATCAAACTTTTTCGTGTCTTGGTCATGTCATTCAGATATCTTCACCACCACGCGACCCCACACATAATCCACCGCGACATTAAAGCAAGCAACGTGTTGCTAGACGCGGATTTCAACGCCCAAGTAGCCGATTTCGGATTTGCAAAACTAATCCCGGATGGAGCGACCCATGTAACCACACGGGTCAAAGGGACTCTCGGATACTTGGCACCAGAATACGCGATGCTAGGAAAAGCATCTGAAAGTTGTGATGTTTACAGTTTTGGAATTCTTTTACTTGAACTTGCTAGTGGGAAAAAACCGATTGAAAAAGTAAATGCAACAAGAAGATCGATCACGGAGTGGGCTTTGCCATTGGCATGTCAAAAAAAGTTTAGTGAGATTGCGGATGTGAAATTGAATGGGGATTATGTGGAAGATGAGATGAAAAGGGTGATTCTTGTTGGGCTTATTTGTGCGACAAATCAAGCGGAAAAAAGGCCAACGATTCTTGAGGTTGTTGAGTTGTTGAAAGGGGAGGTGAAGGAGAAGGTTGTAGCTTTGGAGAATGATGAAATGTTTGTTGATTATAATGATGGGGTGTCTATTGCTGATGATAGTAGTGAGTTTATTTCAGAGGAGAAAGAACGAAAACAAGAGATTGAGAAGGTGGGATTATAGATGTTGTTTGTGTTTGGTTTGTAAAAAGGGTTTGATTTTTATTTTATTTCAAACTAATATTATTTGCATGTGATGGTAGTGGATTGTGTTGTTTGGTTCTTCTTTTACTTTTTCTCTATTAGAGTGTGGATATTATTATGCTATTTGTTAAATCAAGGTTTTTGATGTAGTTTATTTTTCATTATTAAACGTCGAGTCCTAGATTTCTTTATAAAAGAATCTTTAAATTGTAAGTGTAGACTCCAAACATATATGAAGATAAATGAGTGGGGTAGTTTTGATTGAGACTGTGTTCTTGTATTTGCTTAAAAAAAAAAAAATTGTTTGAGTTGGTCATTGTTTTTATCCTTTTTTTCAAATCTGAGAGGGATCCTAACCTTTGTTTGGTTAAATCTCGAGCAAAAAGCATAATGGTTCGAGGGCTGATTAGTAAAGCTTGACAAATAACCTATGGACAACTTGGAATTTAAAATATTTTCGTTTCTTTTTAATATCCATGAAAGTTATTAAATGTTAAATTCTTGTTATTCTTATGTTTGGATTGAGAATAGTAGGTATAAAAGTCCAAACATCAATAATAGATCAAATACACCGAAAGAACGCCAATTTCAAATATGCAAAAGACCCTTCAGAAAGTCTTCTTCATGAAATGTTTTTTTTGTTTGGTTTTTGTAAACATTTTTTTTTATATATAATTAGGATGTTGAATATGGTTACATAATTACATTATTTTAATAATATTTTAATCTTTAATAAACTAAGCTTGGAGCAATCTATATTAAAATAATAGTTTAATGTATTATTTTATTATTTTACTAGTTTAACGTAGTTCTATCCATTTGATATAGGAGTATTGTTTTTTTATTTTATTAGTTTGAATCATTAAGCAAAGCCAAAAGCTTCTCATTTATAAGTGAACTAGGGTTTGCAAATTCAAGAGTTGCAATGGGACCAGTGTTTGTTTACAAAATAAAGTCCAGCATATAAAAGTAGAAAAATATTTTAAAAAAAGAATAACAACCAAGATGTGAAAAAAAATTATAAAAAGACCATTAAAACTCATAAAATTTAAACTGTAAAATAAGCTATATAAGAATCAATAAAAATTGTAACAATAACTTTTGAAAAAGTTAAAAACAAAGTTAGTAAAAAATGGGAGAAGTTTATAAAAAATATGGAGGGAATTTGTGAAAAAATAAAAATTGGTCAAGAAGTGCAAAAAGAGAAAAAAGAAAAAGGATTGAATTTGTAAATATTTTTTAAAATTAGACTAAATATGAATATGAAATATGAAATTATAAATATATTAAATCAAAAAGCTAAAACAGAAAAAGAGCACGGTGGTGGAATCGAAAACCCACCGCGGTTTTTGTCCATACACGAAACGAGCTTTTGCCCTTATCTTATATTTTATGATTTATTTAATTTTAACTAATTTATTATTATTATTATTATTATTATTATTATTTATCATTGCATACATGCAAATTTCTAAAATAAATAAAAAAAATTGACTCTAAATATAGTTTACACGCATTATTTGGAGAATATTAGTGTTTTTGGTTTTGAAAAATAATGAGTGAATTATGAGTTTGGAAGTTGTCATGTTTATTTTGGTTCGCACAATAACTTTTATATATATATATATATATATATATAAGTTATTGTGCGAACCAAAATATTTGAGGATATTTAAATCCTGAGGATCGGCCCTGAGTATATTTGTTTATTAAACATCTCCGAAGAAGACAACATTATTTGGGAATTTCTCACTCTCCAACTTTAGAGGGAATATTGATACTTATAATGACATCTTAGCTTCCCACGCCATCTAATTTGTTAGTTAGATAGTTTATCTTGTAGCTTGGTCTTTGTTTTCTCTTATGATTTGTTTTCTTCTTCTTAGAGCATCTCCAACCCACCCCCAAACTCCATTTCTTCTTTCATTTCTTCCCTTATTCTTCTCCAACCATACCCTATTTTCACCTCCATTTTTGGAGATATGAATAGTATTCCCCCATATATGGGGGAATACTATTCATATCTCCAAAAATGGAGGTGAAGTTTGGTTGCCAATTTTAGTTCCTTTCATTTTTATTTTATACATTTCTAGTTTATTTTATCTACTAATTATAATTTAAATCTAATATTTAATATTTATAATATCATGTTATATACTAATTTATATTAATTAATCATAAATATAGAGTTTAATTAATAGAGGGTGTATTTGACAATATATATAAGTTATAAAAATGAAATATTCTAGTAATATACTTTTTGGGGTAAAAAAATGGGGTAGAAAATGGAGTAGAGTTGGAGATGAAACACTATTTATTTCATTTTTACTCCATTTATGGGGGAAAAAATGGAGATGGGTTGGAGATGGTCTTTTTTATATATATATATATATATATATATATATATATATATATATCTATATATATATATATAAACCATGGATGTCGTGACATTTTTCAATTGAATAATTACAACATTCAACCATTTATTCTATCAGTTACTTCTTTGAATCTTTAATTCAATTCAAGTCAAGAAATGTATTGGAGAGAAAGAAAAAAAATGGCAAGAAAGTTAACAAAGGGTATTTTTGCAAAAAAAAAAAAAAAAAAAAAAGAATAAAAAATGAAACATATATTGGATAATATCAGACATTTTGGATAGTTTCTCAAAATCCCCTTTTAATTCTTACCTTTGTTGATTTATTGGAGCTTCTCTATTTCGATACGTCACCAGCTGTGTAACGTGTTCCCACCTCCTGCTGCTCTTTTGCCGCTCCCAAAAACCGACTTCTTTTTCACTATTCCCAAACGTATACTCTTCAATAGAACAACACAAAATTCTCCACAGCATCTCTCCACTCGTAAGTCCGTTTCCCGATCGTTAATGTTTGCTAGAGCATCGTAATTCTTGTCAAGTAAGTTGTATGCTACTTGAATTACTTTTTGTTGATGAACAATTACAGATATCAGTTGTATCTTCTTCCTCGTTGTTTATGTTTACTTTTTTTCGGCGATTTATTATTTTTTGCTTTAGATTAAACTGATTTGAATCGTAATTTGTTGCTTAGTCACTCGCTTCTTTTTGAATTCGGTAATCTGTTTAGGTTAAAGGATGTTATATGTACCTGCTACAGTGATTATAGTAATTAAGTTAATTATCGTTAACATAATTTTGCATTGACCTCAAAAAAAAAAATTAGCTCTAAGGAATTTGATTGTTTTGGCCCTAGAAATTCAGAATTAAAATTAGCTCTAAGGAATTTGATTGTTTAGCTCATATGGTTTATTGGGTAGTACTTGTTTTCAGTGTTGTCAGAGGGTTAGGGTTTCTTTTCCTCTTTTTGATTTTGCTTTACTTTATTAAGTACATAGATTCTTCCAAGTGGGGTTGAACTTTTATTTTATGAGATTACTGCATAGACAGGGCATCATAGGGTTACTTTGTTTCACTGTTTAGCAAAATGGTCTAATCATGTGCTGATTGAAAGAAAGCCTGGTTGAAATTATTCTTAAAATCCATTTTTTGGTGTACACAGTTTCAAAGGTAAAATGGCTGACCAAGGAGGAACAGAGGCATCAGCACCTGCTGCTTTTGATTATATGCTCTATGAAGGGGATCCTGATCATCTTCGAACAGTTGTAGCAACACCAAGTCAACCAAATCCTCATATTGACTCTTCACTGTTGAAACTTAAGCACAGAATTGGACATGGACCTTTTGGTGATGTCTGGTTAGCCACCCACCATCAATCAGGACATGATTATGATGAGTATCATGAGGTTGCCATGAAGATGTTACATCCAATAAAAGAGGAAGACATGCCAAAGTTTCTTGTTAAGTTTGATGAGTTATTCCTCAAGATCCGTAAACTGCAAAGTGTTTGTTGGTTGCATGGTATCTCCATCATATCCCAAAAGGTGATTTGTTTTATCACTACAGATATGAAAATGAGGAGGGTATTAAAGTCTTTTTGCAAAAAGATTGAGAGCAAGTCACTGCCACACTCACACCTTTTTAGACAGGACAAAAAGTTGCAAATTTTGTCCTATTGACATCAGTCAAACACAGTACAACCTGTTATCGTCTGTCATGTCCTAAGTAACAGGATATATCATGTATCATATTTTATTGGTGTAATTTATACAAACTAATTTACAAGATTGTGTTACTTTCAGGCCTTTCAACATATATGCATTGTCATGAAGTTTTATGAAGGATCAGTGGGTGATCGAATGGCAAAACTTAAAGGGGGAAAACTTCCATTGCCTGATGTATTGAGGTTGTTTTTCTTATATTAAGCTCATAAAAGTAACAAAAATGATAATCAGTTGTTAATCTTTTTTTCAGGTATGGTGTGGGGTTAGCTAAAGGAATCCATGAAGTTCACTCATTAGGAATCTTGGTGTTAAATATCAAACCAACTAATCTTCTCCTTGATGAACATGATCAATTGTTTCTTGGAGATTTTGGGATCCCATATCTTCTTCTTGGAGTCCAACTGCCTGACCCTGATATGTCTTTTAGGCTTGGATCCCCAAACTACATGGCTCCAGAACAATGGGAGCCTGATGTCAGAGGTCCTATAAGTGTGGAGACTGATAGTTGGGGATTTGGATGCTGCATTTTGGAGATGTTGACTGGTGGTCAACCTTGGTTTGGTAAGTCTGTTAGCGAGATATATAATTCTGTTGTGTTGAAAAAAGAAAAACCACAGCTTCCAAGTGGTCTCCCTCCTGCTATTGAAAATGTTCTTAATGGATGTTTCGAGTATGATCTTCGTAACAGACCTCTCATTGGAGATATTCTGCAAGCATTCGAAAGGTTAGGGGTTTCTTTTTTAAATAATCTCTCTTTCAAAACATAAGGGCAAAATGGTCATTTACTCGCATTCAGTCCAAAAAAGAAACAAACAGAGTAACTAACCATATCCACACTGCCATATTTAAAAGATTAAAATTTAACTTGCAGCGCGCGTGACACGGTGTCCAATGATGGAGAATGGATTGGTGTAGGAAACAAAGTGACACTGAATAGAACATCCGGAAGCTTCTACTCAACATGGTTTCTCACAAAAGATGTTCTACAAGTGGGCGATATCGTCCGATCACGAAAAACACCAAACAATTGCAAAAACATGGCGGTGGCTGAAGGAACAATAGTCGGTTTGGAAAAAGACACCGATCGAGATGGTTTTGTTCTTGTTCGTGTCCAAGGAATCCACAACCCGTTAAGAGTAAACATCACCACTCTAGAAAGAGTCACTTCCGGCTTAGCCTCCGGAGACTGGGTGCACTTATCAGACGAGAACCGGAATCGGAATCACTCATCCATCGGAATTCTACATTCCATAGATCGTGACGGAAGTGTACGTGTCGGTTTTATCGGACGCGAGACTCTATGGAAAGGACACTGTGAACAACTCCAAATGGCGGACCCGTATTCCGTGGGACAGTTTGTGAAACTGAAAGGGAATGTGTTAAGTCCTCGGTTTCCGTGGTTACATAAACGGAATGGAATATGGGCGACAGGTAGGATTACAGAAATACTTGCGAACGGGTGTCTTGTTGTGAAGTTTCCGGGGAGGTTTGTTTTTAGAGGTGAAAGTGATACGTTTTTGGCTGATCCGAGTGAAGTTGAGCATGTTTCTTTTGAAACATGCTCAACTTTGGTTGACAAGTTTGGACATGTGGAGGATTATCATTGGGCTGTGAGGCCGTTGACTATTGTGTTTGGTGTACTTACGGCTTTGAAGGTTGGGTTTGTTGTGGGCCATAGTGTGGGTGGTAGATTGAAGAAAGGTGGTTCCAGGAAGACTCATGGTGGTGGCGGTGGCGGTGGCGGTGGTCAGGATGGGCAGAATAGTGGCGGCAAGTCCAAGTGGCTTCCGTCGCCTGTGGCGAATATGCTATCTAGAGAAGGTAGTGCACCTCCTGTTGCAGCCAGATGATGTTATAAATAGGTAAAAAACTATTTGAGATGTTCAAAATCACCATTGTTTTTAAAAAAGTTACTATAAAAAGGTAAGCAACTTAAATGTTTTGTTCATGAGGGACCTCTGGAAAACGTTTCAGTTGCTTACCTTCTGATAGTACTTTTTTAAAACGGTTATGTTTTGTACAAAAACAAATAGTATGTTGCCATTTATGAAAAGTTGTTTATATTGTGAATAATGAATATATGAATCCTGTTGTATTTCCAATCAAATGTATTCTTCTATTTCACCTAGACTATAACATCCTCAAAAACTGGTATTCGGGCAAAACCGGATTAATATGGTTAAGCTTGAAACAAGGAAGTATGGGCATTAATTTGCATGCATTGTGGCTTGTGGGGTTGTACAGTATAGTACACTATAATCGAATGATAAGGGATGCAATAATGCAACAAGTTATTGGAAATGAGTTAAAGTTATATTTCCTCCACTATTTGGCACGTATGACTTAACTTATTTTTTGAATTTATTAAACTTATTTTTTGAATTTATTTTAATGGAGTATTTGGTAAGGCTATTAAGCTAGCTTAGAGCATATTTAGTCATTGACGTTATGCAGCTTATTTGTTTTGTCACATTATATTTCCACTAGTTTTATCAAACAAAATATTATCAATTGTAACTTCTCCAATCATTTACCATATTAATAACTCTTTTGAAACTACTAATTCATTTGGTCTTTGTGAAATATTTTATAAAGCCCTTCGTTTTTTTAAGTAAGTGTAATACTTATAAAATTAAAAAATAGGTAATATGATATTAGATAAAATCAATAAACTAAAATCAAAATAAATATTATTAGATTTAGAATCCATATGACATTTTTATCTCGTTGCACAACATAATATAAAAATTATAAAAATGACGATAAGAAAATATCATACAGCCTTTTATTAATTAAGTTTAGCAAAACCGGGTGAATTGGACGTATGTAATATTGTATCCACTAAGCTTCTGTATTAGTTACATGCAAGGCTGTAAAAGTAGTTTGACAGTATTTAGTAGGCTGTTGGCCGATTAACCACTAGAGATTAGTCGACGACCGGTTAGGACTATAAAATGTAAATCAGTTAAATTAAAAAAAATTATGACTGATATTATAAAAAAAATTATGACAAATATTATAAAAAAATAAGTTAATATCACTAATAAAACAATAATACTCCCTCAACTTGGTTTTACTGAAATATAACTTCTTGAAGATGTTAAAAATTAATCGGTTTTGAAAACTTTACTAATTGTCTAGACATTGATTAATCGCTAGGTGTCATCTAGTTGGTCATGTAGTGTAGGGATTAATTAGAAATTAATTGGGATTTTTAACAACATTGCTTATATATATGACATGACAAATGTAAAAACATGTATATCCTTGAAGGTTTAAAACGACCGAAATTAAGATGTTACATGAACTTTTAAAATCTTTATGAAAACATTCACATCCAACTAGTTCTATACTCAAATTCTTAAATTTGTTTTCATAATTGTTTACACAAACATTATAAATATAAGTTATCCTTATTTGTATTTGTCTTTCAAATTTAATAGAAGTGTGTTACCAAGTCTCAACTAAATATAAGTTATCATTATTCATTTTTCATTGGAAAATTTAGAAAACACGTTTAGTTAAAATTTATTCATTTTTTATTTTTAGTTTTAGAAAACTAGAAAACGCGTTTAGATGTGTATTTTTCTATCGGTTTTCATTTTTAGAAAACGGTAACGGTGGTAGGGTGGGGGTGGGGCGGAAAATTTTCAACTTCTTTGTAATTTTAGAAAACGGAAGATTTTCATTTTCCGTGAAAAATTTAGAAAAACAGACGAACTAAACGCATTTTCAAAATTTTTATTTTTCTTGGAAATTTTTTCCGAAAACGACCCATTTTTCGCAACTAAACGCAATCTTATCGTTTCGAAATCACAATTTTAGTTATCTCAACTTTGTTTTGGGTCATCTATATTCTTTAAGACTGGTAGGTGTGGGCAACATCCACACCAGCGTTATTAGGAAAAAGACAAAAAAAAAAAGGCGTTATAACATGTTATGGTGGTAACGGGGAGCAACGCACAGGCTAATAACGTCTGATAACGGGGAATGGGAGCGGTGTTCACGTGTTATAACACCCAATAACGCCCCTTGGGGCGTTGCCCATACCCACCTCTCTAAGGTAACCAAATTCCAAATAATAACATAACAAGTATTTATTGTGATCAAACATACAATATATAACACTCGTCATTCACTCGTAATTACCAATCACACAAAAGCAATATCCAAGGTTATTAAATTACAAACAAATTAATATCCATGTGCATTAAAGAGCATGAAGCATCACTTGAACACCGTTCTTTGGAATAAGCATCAGAAGATGAACCGGCTCGTGAACATAATTGGGAGATGGAGTAAAGCGAAAGCGCTGCAAGATCATTGCAAGCGCAACCTTAGCTGTATTGGTAGCGAAGTTTGAACCTACACAATTTCGAGGCCCAAAGCCAAAAGGCATATATGCTGATGGGTTGTTCTTTGTAGCTTTGTTGATCCCTTCGGAAAACCTATCGGGTTTAAAGAGATGAGCATCCTCTCCCCATATTTTACGATCATGGTGAAGTGCTAAAACGGGAACATGTAGAATTAAGTTGGAAGGAATCGTAAGACTTCCCAATTTAACTTCTCTTTTGTTCTTTCTGATAATAGCCAGTCCAGGTGGATACAGTCGTAGGGTCTCATTGATGATCATCCCAATCTGTATGACATGATATTTAGAAAAAGGATACAAGTGATCATTAATTATGAGGTTAATATATAAGCTAAATTACCGTTTTCAGTTTTGCTATGCCTTCTGATCGCGGGTTTTCTCTCCCAAACAGCTCGAATACCTCCTCTCGTGCTCTTTCTTGCCATTCTTTGTGGACTGACAAAAGAAGAACAGCCCATGAGAGCACAAGCGATGTTGTTCCATCCCCAGATACATAAAAGGTTTTACATTCGTCAATGATGTCTTGTGTTGAAAGCTGGTATCGTTCATCTGTATCGTGATTAGCCTTTACAAGTTGTCCAAGAAAATCAGTTCCCCAAGTGTCTGCATCTACAGCCATGATTTTCTCTCGCTCCTTTATAGTCTTGATAATTAGGTCTTGAATGTCTTTCTGAAGCTCATCCGACCTCAAATCATCGCTGCTTTTGAGTATTTTACTGCAAAACACGATGATTGGAAACATATTTCTTTTGTCATGTATGAAAAGTTATTCATAAATGTTTACCCGAGGCCCGGAATAAGGGGAGGATTGTAGTAGTTTCTGCCTGCTATGGTACTCATTTCCTTGAGCATTTCAAAAACTTCCTTTCCTTGTAAGTAACTGGTCCCAAATGCTGTCTTTGAAATCACTTCGGCTGTCAAGATCCTGAACTCGGCGTTCACTTCAACCTCACTGCCGGCCATACTTTTCCACCTAAGTAGCAGCATCTCTACGCTTTCAACCATGGTTGGGATCATGTTCTACATATAGACCTATTAGTTAATATGTAGAGTTGTATATTTTCTTTCAAAAAATCCAATGTTTTGAAAACTAGGTTTTTACCGGTTTGTTTAAAAATGGTTTTTATGCTTTAAAAAACTAGTAACAAGTGAACCGGTTGGTTCGGTTTTCAAAACCATGAAAAGATTCCTAAAAAGATAAAGTAAACCTCAATATATATTAGCGAATTCAGGATTCAAATTCATGTATGTCCGGTTTAATTGCAACACATGACAAAGTTAAATGATCTAAAAAGTTTGGATTACGGTTGAGTATGTCATATAAAACAAGTATAGTTATGAAAGTACGGTGAAAAATCAAACATAACTTAAAAATATTGGTCATTATGTGTCATAATCATTAATAGACATAACTGAACAAAATTGAAAAACAAAACAACAAATACAAATATAAAAAAATATACACGTAATCAATTAATAATTAAACAAATAATTCAGAAACACTAATGAATTCATATCATATGGAACCTATATTCCGACTAATTTATTATCATGGAGTTTGAAAAATAAAGAAATTACCTAAAGTTTTTTCCTAGAAAATGATAACAAATCTAGAAAATGATAACTGCTGTTGATTTGGTTAATCCGAACATCATAAGTATCTTATAAGTATCTAATAATTATAAATATTTATTATTATTAATATTTGGGTCTAGGTTTTTTTACAAATCCTTTATTTTTTTTCTCACTTTACATCTTATACCTTTAAATTTTCAGCACTAAAAGCATGGTTAGCCAATTTTCGCTGCCTTGCCCATTTTTCCCCTTTAGACGTAACAAGACCATACCCGAGCATTTTCTTATGAAATGATCCGAGATCAGGTCTTTCCAAAGAGACGCTTCTATTGCTGGCAATTTCTTTGATAATCTCCGGGTCTGTGATAACCAATTCGGGTTGAGGACCATACCAGTCAAGAAAATTTTTCCCTGCGAAACAACAAATTAACTTTGTTTAATGATTAGTTCAGTTCAAGTAAGTTGATGCATGACTAAAAATGCATTAAGTTAATGCTAACCGTATAACCGGAACCATATAACGAACTGAGGTTGTATTCTTGGGTATATATCATGTGATATACCAGTGAACAACGAAGTCTTTGCTTGGTCTTTGATGTGGGCAATTTCTTTAGTGTTACCATGAACGAAGCGATATGGGGGTCCACTTATACCCTGGGAACTCATTACACGTTTTATGCGATTTGGAAGCCACCACATTTTGTGGAAGAACTTAAGGAGACCGTAGAGGGTTACACAGCTAAGAAAAACAAGAACCAGAGCTCCCACATTTGACCACATATCAACAACCTAGATTTTCAACTCTGTGTTCTGTTGTATAGGATCAGAAATATGAAGAACAACGTATATAAGAGCATAATTAACCAGACACCAGTTGTACGGAGACCATTTTGTTATTCGTGATGGCGTGCATGGTGATGCACCATTGAATTGACCATGAAAGGAACTCATAAAATTATTAAGTAGCAGTTGGATAGCTGACGATTTTAAAAGTGCTTGATTGGTACTCAAGTATTACTAACAAGGACATGTTAAGTATTTGGTTAGTTTTCTCATTTTTGTATTTTTTTTTTTTTTTTTTTGGTGTTTATTCTAAAAATAATCACTAAAATACCAAATGTGACTCAGAATATCACCAAGTAACTATATTATATATTTATATTATAAACTATAACATTTATCAAGTGTTATCAGACCTGATTCTTTCTTGATTTGGTTTAAATAAAATAGAATCCGTAATTTAACAAATTTGTTTTCATCAATGTGGGAATGAGAAGCAAGAATTGGCCAATATTCTAACAGGTTTGTTTTCTTCTTAAGCTGGTTCAGAAAAATTAAAAATGGAGAGTAAATTGAAAGAGAAGGAAGAACAATATTTTTTATTTTTTTATTTTTGTAACTGCATGTTTCTCTCTAGAAAAGGACATAAATTTATGACCAAACATACCTTTGTTATTATTTTATTTTATTTATTTATTTTTTTTGGTCTTAGAAGAGGCAAAGCCCAAATCGTTCCCTGGCAGCAGAGCAACAATTTTGTTATGAATGTTGATACCTAAATTGTGTTCTGATTATCATTTTCATTAACGTGAATATAAAGCTAAAATGAATGCATCACAATGTAAAGTGTGTTTTCAAGTTACTAGCAATGAGAAATGGTGTTAGGAAGTAAGAATATAGTGAGATAAAGAGAAGATGTTTTCTTTCTCATTTGTGAAGGATCGTAACCTCATTCACAGAAGCTCACACCACCACCATGTAGCGGTGGTATTCCCCCTCCAAACTCACACATAAGTAGCTTCCAAGTCAGCATACGCGTAGGAAACTCCACCCATTCCTTTTAGCCTAAGAAACAAAACAATAAATATCGATAGATGATAGATTGCTTTGATTACGTAAAAGACAATTGCATATGAATATATAGAGAGTACCAAAACCCTAAAGGGCCTGAGACTAAACCATAATCACCAGCATCCCCTCGTAATTTGATTGGAATGAAACGATTAAAGTGAAAAAAAAAACATAGATGAAAACAATGGCAACGACGATGGCAGAGCTCTGGCGATGGCGTCTAACATCGACTGCTTGTCGTAGAAGAAGAGAGAAGAAGTGGCGGCCAGGGGCGGTGTAACGACCCAAAAATCATGACTGAAAATTTCCTTTTAAAACATTACTTACAACATAATTGTCAAACCATAAATGAAATCATAACATAAATCAAAGTATAAATTCCAAAACATATTTTCATTATCAGAGTAAAACATCCCAGGCTGACTAATCAATGGTGTGTGCCATGCGATCACCCCGAGCTCTTCCCTCCGCTACCGGAAGTACCTGAAACCAAAACTGAAAACCGTAAGCACGAAGCTTAGTGAGTTTCCCCAACCTACCACATACCATACAAATCTACTGATCCGAACATAATCCGGAACACATAACCATATACTGGGCCCCCGCCCGCTGCCTTGGGCCTCGCCCGCTATCGGACCCCGTCCGTCACCAGGCCCCGCCTGGCTTCGAGCCCCGCTCGGCGTACATATTTGTTTCTTTTAGGCCCCGCCTGTCTCTGGGCCCCGCCCGCTAACATATACTAACACGTAATCATATCACAATGCATAACTAAACATATACTACTGAATCCTGTTCTAAGGTCTCGCCTATCTTGGGCCTCGCCCCTGTCCTGCTACTGATGAGTCATGGAACCCCGTCCACACTCCTACTGATAGTGAGATACGGGCCCAGCCCACACTCACTCCTTTCCTACTTGGGCCTCGCCCCTCCTGCTCTGATACTAATGAGATATGGAACACCATCCACACTCTGCTATTGGTGAGATACGGGACCTCGCCCACAATCACCTCCCTACCAGGCACATACATGTATCACACAGACAACAAGTATACTCTATCATGCAATCCCTTCCTGGGGCACCCGCCCTACGTTGGACCTTGGTCCTGAATATCGTACTAGCATATCGTGCCTAGGGCTAACCCCCGGGTCTTCCAACTCATATCTACATGGGCCGGCATTGTGGCCGTAGACCCATCCACACAAAGGGAAACTCACCTGCACCGCTGAACTTGCCGACACGCTTCTGACTGCTGACTAACAACTCCCGAACCGCTGCTCCTCTAGCTCCCCGAGCTACCAATAACAACATAACACTTAGCCCCCAAACTGACCTCCAGAAGTCAAACTAAGTCAACTCCGGCCCAAGTCAAAGTCCTGGTCAAAGTCAACCTTCCAGGTCGACCCCACTCGCCGAGCCAGCCTATTGACTCGCCGAGTTCATAAGCTCAGGAATCCTAACATCCGCGACTCGACTCGCCGAGTCCTCAACCTCCGAGTCCTAGTCCTGGTCCTGACCAACCCACTGAGTCACCGCCTCAACTCACTGGTTCAACTCGCATCCAGAAGGGGTTAGGGTTTGCGACCCGACTCGCCGAGTCCAAGAACAGACTCGCCGAGTCCACTTGTGACACCTTCATTCAGACGACTACAGTCCATTCCAATGCTTCCCACTTGTAGATCTGGACTCCTAGGGTTGGCATTACACGTAAAGTTGCCAACTTTACGTGCATGCAAAGAGCTATGAAGCTTGAACATCAAATCTAAGCTAAAATGAAGGTCCAAAACAAGAAATGAGGCTATGGCTGAATAAAGCTTCTCACTCAGAGCTCCTAAGGCTCATACATACTCAGATCTAAAGTCCTCTTGGTCCACCAAAGCTCAATACTCGGATTGACCTTGGAAATGGCCCAAAAGTGACAAAATCTAGGTTAAGAAGAGGATCTAGATGACTATCAGTCAAGGTATGAGCTTTATACCTTCAATTGGTCTGAAATGCTTCCCAAACTCTGGATCTACTGCCTCTTCTTGAATCCCCAAGGTTTTCCTTCTTCCTTCTAGCTTTAAATCACTCAAAAATGGCAAGAGAAGCTTAAGGACACTCAATGGCTGCTTAGGGTTTCGAGAGTAGGTGAGGGGAGTGATGGAGGCTGGGGTGGAGGCCTGAATTAATGTTTAAATAGGGTACCAAGTCCGAAAATTAGGGTTTCCCAACCCAGACCTGACTCGCCGACTCGTCGAGCCGGCCACTTACTCTTCCACCCGAATCCCGCTTCGACTCGTCGAGTTCTTCCTTGGACTCGACGAGTTGACCCCTTTGACTTAGGGTTTTCCTTTCCTTTCTTGGCCTTTCTGATTCTGGGTGTTACAGGCGGTTCCGTTGAAGAAGAAGAAAGGCGCGACGACGGTGATGATCATGAAGTCGGCGACAGAGGAGTATGGAGAAAGAAAGTAAGAAAGAAAGAGGGCTCGAGTTGCGGTGGAAGGAACCAATTACAGCGAGCTCGACGATTGTAGTATTGAGAGAGAGAGATAGAGATGAATGTAGATCAGAGGCTTCCCAGGGGATAAGGTGTTATCGGAGGGAGGCAACAATAACAAAGGAAAAGGGATATGGAGAAGAGAGGCCAACTGATGAGAAGGGATCATTCGAGGACGAGGAAAAAGACTTATAGGCAGGGGCCATATGAGGAGGATGCATAAGCAGACAACAGTAAAAGAAGCCGAGAAAGGAGCTCTGGTTTGGTGTCGGCGAGTGTATTATTATTATTTAGGATGAGAAAGAATAAAAGAAAAAAAAAATAACCAAGACACCTCCGACGACTATTAGAGAAGATCATTGAAGGTGGACGGCGGAGATTGCAGGGCTGCGATCAACAGTAGGGTTTTAACCTAGAGCTCTAATACCATGATAGATAATACATTGTTTTGATTACTCAAAAGACAATTATATAGAAACATATAGAGAATACCTAAACCCTAACACTCTGTTCCCGAGTTCAATTTAACGAGAGAAAAGAAAGGAAATTGGTGGAATGAGAAGAAAATAAAAGAAATTGGTGTTCCCGAGCTTCATTAAAGGAAGGAAGTTGATGAAAATGGAATGATCATTTTCCCTCCTAATTTTCCTTCCGATTTGGGAGGATTTGGAAAGAATGAACAAAATGATTAATTTTCCTTCCACTTCTCTCCAACTCCGGAACACAAAATAAAATTTTGTTTTCCTTTCCTTTCTCTTATTTTCTCTCCTGACTTTCTTTTCTCTTCTTTTCTTTTCTCTTCTTTTCTTTTCTTTTGTTAAACTCGGTACTAGGCGTAAGGGGCTTAGATCTAAACCATAATCACTAACAAATATAGTAAAAAGGTAGGGTTTCAACAACAATAATAAGTGGTGAATATGATAGCTTTTACCACTGAAAATATATTTGAGCAATGGTATTCCTCTTTTCTAACCACCTAGAACGAACATCATGTGATGGAGGTAGAATCTTTTGAAGAAGTAATGCCTCCAAAATTAGTAAGAGAACCTTACAACCATATTGTTGCAGGTTTCTTGGAGTCATTTTGTAAGTTTTTGTCCGGATGAGTCATTTTGTAAGTTTTTGTTCGGATAAATGGTGTTTAAAAAGATTAATGTTTACCAAAATAATAGGGTTGTTTATAAACATCATTTAATATCAACTCTAAGATATGAATTCCATTCTAGTTTTGACTAGATTGATCATCCTACCATCTAATCATTGTTAAGGTTTTATAACATTAAACAAGTAGGCTAATGATGATGTTCTCACATGTAACTTCAAAAATTGCAAACCACAACTCGAATTGCACATCACTATTGGAAAAAAAAAATATAACACGATCAAACTATGAGTAAAAAAGGATACATTCATCCACAACCTTGACTTGTATAGCTCTTTTAGGGACTCCATCACTGCTAATACATTCTAAAAGAATTGTGCCTATTGATTTTTTTTTCATTTTTG